GACAACACCATTATGGCAATACAGAACAACAACTGAAGAAGCCAGGGGTCTATAGAGGACGAAAAATTGAGAACCAAGAAAAAAGTGAAAGAAAATCAAGTTGACTATGGAAAATGAAGGAAGAGGTAAATGCTGCTACAATTATCTCCAACCCATAGCAACCCAGAAAGATGCACGTGGGGTATGAGACACGCAAGAAAGATCAAACCAGAACTTTAAAACACGAAGGACATTTTCTCGATTCCAAAAAATAAAGCCCCCGTATGGGAAAGGGTTCTATACCTACCCCCGGACCAGATCATAGTACATGAGGTGTATCTAACATATAGGAGACACCTAGTCAAGAGGAATGCCCTGGTATTCGCCGTAGCCAAGGGCAAGGTTCATGTTCTCTATAGCGAGCATTAGCTTCAATTCTATGCAAATGAGTCCAGGGACTGTTAGGCTGGAGGACTTACGCAGGCACTGGGTGGCAGCACCCTTGAGCAGGTTGTCAATGGTAGCACACACGACGACCCGCTTGCCGCTGGAGTGGACAGCAAAACCACCAACCTCAACGCCGTGGCGGCCAGCAATGTCCTTGACGGAAGGAGGCTCGCCAACGATCTTCACGAGCTTCTCACCAGCATAACGATCCTGGTAGATGTTGCGGATGTCGCGGGAGCTCATCTCCTCCTTCAAGGGGATGCTGATAGTGTGCTGCATAGAGGTCAGCTTCAAACACAAGACGAAATCAGATAGCATGGAAACAAGAGTAACATACGTGAATTCCCTGGAACCAGACAGCAACGTGAGGGATGAACGCAATGCTGGTACCGAGCTGCGCGCTGATCTCCTTCTCGTGGATGTGATCAGTCAAGCTGTAGGGAATGATGTTGTTGGTGAGGTTGTCCACATCGTTCTTGGGGCTGGGCTTGGTGCCAGCTCCGGAGTAGCCGGAAACACCGAAAACAGTGGGCTGGCCACCGAGGAAGGGCACAAGGGGAGCAATTCCAATCTGAGCGGCAGTAGCGTAGCATCCAGGGTTGGCGATACGGGTAGCCTGGGCAATCTTGGAACGGCTAACCAACTCAGGCAGACCGTAAGTCCAGTTGCTGTCGAACCGGTAGTCGGCACTCAGGTCAACGATCACGTTGCCCTTCTCGGCACCCTGGTCCACAGCATCAACAAACGGCTTGCAAACGCCGTTGGGCAGAGCCATGACCCAGCAGTCGACGTCTCCGTTGGAGGACATGCGCTTAACATCGTCGGGGCTGAGGTTCTCGTAGATGATCTCACGCTTGTCGTAACCCTGCAGCTTCTTGCCAACCAGCTCGCGAGAAGAGACGTGACGCAGATCCATGTGAGGGTGGGCGTTGAGCAGGCTGATCAAAGCCTGGCCGGTGTAACCACGGGCTCCGATCAGAGCAACCTTGGCGGGGCGGGTGTTGGACATGTTCTTCTCGCCCAACGGGGGGTTAGGGTTCGTCGTGGCGTAGGTTCTGACGGTCTGCACAGGAACCATCGGACGAGCGGAACGAGCGGCGCGCAGAGCATTGCTGGTAGAGGAGAAGGCACGCTTCTGCTCAGCAGAAGCGCCGCTAGCACCAAAACCCTTGCCAATGTGAGTGGCGGCCTGGGCGGCGCGGTGCAGCCTCGACTCGAGGTTGATGTCTCCAAACATCTGGCGACCGTGCTGGTTGAACTCCTGCACCAGCTGCTTGACCTCCTCACCGCTCTCGACACCGTACCAGAAGAGAACCTCTCCCTCACGGCTGAGGCTGCCATCGGCCTTGTCAAAGAACCAGGTCAGGTTCTCATCATCCTCCTTGACGGTCCAGACAAGCTTGGGGTAGTCCTTCTTGATGGAAGCAAAGACGTTGTCAGCAACGTTGGTCAACCAGCCAGACTTGGTGATGGTGAAGGTAGCCAAGTGAGCCAGGGAAGAAGTAGCGTCCTTCTGAGGGGGCAGAACAACGGCCAAAGCCTCCATAGGCTCATCATAGTAGACCTTGAAGTCACGCTCCTTCAAGCCCTCGACGTAACGGTCAACCGTGGCGCGGGCATCCAGGCCCTCGCGGTCACGAACCAGGACCTCCTTGAGCTTCTCGAGATCCTCGAACTCAGAGAGAGAGGTCTTAACGTGGACCTTGTTTCCACGGCGGATCAGCGTACCGGCTCCAGAGTCGGTGAAGAGTTCCTTCTGCAGATCAGCAGGGTGGATGATGGCCACACTGGAGGTACGAGGAAGATCGCTGAGCAGGTCCTTCATCTCCTTGATCTTCAGGCGGGTACCGTGACGGACCCACCACTGAGTCATCAGGTGGTCGTACTCCTCGTCGAGGTTGATCACAGAGATCTTCTCACCGGTGTCACCGTTGAACAAGCCACCCTTCTCGGCCAGGTAGACAATCTTGAGCGGCTGGAGCGCACGCGCCAACTCACCGGCAGCCACATCAGCATTGACGTTGAGAACCTGGCCATCGGGAGTCTCGGCCATAGACGTAAGAATGGGAAGGCAGCCAGCCTCAATGGCAGACTCAATTGGCTTCTTGTTCACGCCATTGATCTTGCCAACGAGGTTGTACTTGTCCTTGTCCAGGTAATCAGCGGTGAAGACACCCGCGTTGAGAGGGCGCGCCCGGACACCCATGCGCTCCAACTCCTCAATCAACTTCAGGTTCTCCTCCAGGAACAGCTTCCGGGCCAGAGCCAATGTCTTTCCATCAGTGACTCGGATTCCATCTTCGAACTGAGGCTCGACACCGGCGTCCTCTAGCATACGGTTAAGCTGGGGTCCAGCACCGTGGACAACGATCGGGTACAGGCCGACATGGTTCAGGAACGCAAGGGCGGAGGAAAGAGTCTGAAGGTGTTCGGTGATGATGGCACCGCCGACCTTGATGACAGCGAACTGCTGGGAGGAAACGGAGGTGAAGTGAGAGAGATACTGCTGCACCTCGCGCTTGGAACCGATGTTGCTCAGCAACTGGACAACGGTCGAGCGGGTGGAGGAAAGCTGGGGGTCAGTAGCACGGGAGTAGTGACGGCTCTGCAACAGGGGAACCGCAGAGGCCTTCAGAGATTGACGAGCAGAGGCGCCGCCCAGTCTGGCAGAAGAAACAGCATGCTGTGCGGAGAAGGCGCGGAGGGGCTTGCTGGAGGAAGCTCTCCGCACGGCGGTGCGAAGGGAGAACATATTGCCAGCCAGCATGCGGCAGCTGCTGAGGCCTATATCGGACAGGAAGGTCGGAGGGAGGGAGACCTGGGGAGGGGGGAGAACGGGGTGGGAGTCAGAGGGAGTTAAGTAGAGATAGCAAGTGGTTATGGAGGTTGAGAGGAGAAGGTGACGAAGAGGGAAAAAAGGTTGTGCGGAGGTGGTAGTGCGGGTTCATCAGGGAATTTGCCGCAACCCCCCAAAGAGTTTGATCGTCCAGATAGAGATTATCGGCCACTCTTCGGAGCGGGCGCGCGCCCTTTGGGAAGAGGGGAATGAATTATTACTCACTAGTTAGCTCCGACCCAATGGCTGGCCGCAATCGCCTGGTTCGGAGGTGGGTTTTTTTTATTTTCTTTACTTTTCGGCCGTGACCAATTCTGTCCTTGGGTTAAGTTAAGCCTTAGGTTTTTTTTATAAAGCCTTTTTCAATGTCGCTCTTTTGCCGCGTTCGGGAGCGCCCTTTATATCTTTCTCTCTCCCCACGCGTTGCCTCGAATTTTAGGCCGTTTTTCACAAGCTAACCAGCTAACTAGGGGCACCTGGATCTCCGTCGAACCTGTCACTATACGTGAGCGAATTTCGATCTGGCCACTGGAATAAATTGCGCAAAACCCGGCTTTCTTTAAGGTATATATCGAGGGATAAACGCCAGTCCGCACAAGTGCCCGAAACGCTGGCTTGGCTGCGACTTTCGGAGCCGGGTATCGAAAAAAAAAGTGACTCACCACATTACTATTATTCCAAGGTCCCGGTTCCCATCATTTCCGGTTGCCCTTCGCTCCCCCATCTCCAAACACCTCGCTTCCCTCTTTCGCATCGTCACACGTAATGGAAACCCAGCATATGGATCCCGACGATCTCCTGTGATCAATTTCCATCAATCAATAATAACTCTTCAAGCCGTTATCAGATCTCGCTAACTGCCGACAGCCTATCACTGTCTTGACTCGCTGGAGTCGTGCTCCAGCACGACTCAGGCCACAGGTGTCAAATCCGTCAGTGCAGATGGATCCTTTTCGTTATCTGATCTTCCCTTTACCTAACACGTACAACTGGGTATCCAGATTCCATATTAATGTGGTCCACACCTCCTTCTCTTCGGTCCTCTTCATCCGAGCCTTTCCTCCCTTTGCTTTTTCCGTGGGGTGCGGGTTTTATCTATGGCTGGTAATCTCCTCCGTAGTAGTATCCGCAATACGAGAATCTACCCGTGTCTCAGGCTACGATGGGTCGGACTTATGGCCAGACGAGTGCCCTGACCGTCTTTCTCGTCAGGTCCTGCTCTCTCTCCGTTTCTCACCCTCTCGCTTTTATGCAGGTGCAAAGTCTCAAAAGGACAAATTAGGTTACCTGTACTATACTCGCAGTGTACTCTTGAGTGTAATCTGGAGCAGAGGTCCATTAAAGGCTAAAAAGGGATTTTTTTTTTTTTTTTTTTTTTTTTTTTTTTTTTTTTTAAAAAAAAAAAAAAAAAAAAAAAAAAAAAAAAAAAAAAAAAAAAAAAAAAAAAAAAAAAAAAGAGAGAAAAGGAAAAGGAGCAAACATAGGAGACCAAAACCAACAAACAGCACTGATACTTGAACACGAGGAAGCACCGGAGAGTATCATTTACATCTTCACCGTCGATGGAATCATGTGGCATAGCCTCAATCTCCATACCGGCTCATAGCGTCCATGGCGTATAGAGACAACAAGACTTTATTCGTGAGAACGAGGTTGACGCCCGAGAAAAAAGCAGGTGGTATTAATAGCTGGAAACAACGGCTTCGTCTCAACACAGATAAACCAGGGCCAGGCGAAAGAAAAATCGTCATCCATTCCCAAGCCAATCATGACTGTCGCGCTCTGAATTCGTAGCTTAATGTTTGGTTGCGACAACTAAAAGGAGAGAAAGCTGTTAGCGCACTCCGGGATGCTTTACCGGGTCCAGCTGGGTGGAGTGCCGGAGAACAGCGCTGATCTTACCTGCAGGGACGATAATCACAATGAGCAGAATAATGATACAAACGATAAGGCACACGCGCATCTTCATATCCTTCCACCACATTTGCTTCCTCACGCGGTTGGCACCTCTGCGGAATCCCTGCGCTGATGTTGCCAAATTGTCCGTCTTGTCCTGGAGGGAGTCTAGACGTTCACCACGTTCTGAAACTTTGAAGATGTTGGAGCGCATCGTATCAACGGTCTCTTGGATTTTCTAGAGAGGAAAGAAACACAGTGTTAGTAAAGGGCTTTGCGACAAATGCCATGATAGACACAAGCTCAATAACATCCAAAAGACCGGGGTGGCCGCCCAGTGTAGATGAACCCAGATGGAAGTCCAGATGAGCACTGGGAAATCGTCACATCCTATCCAACCTGGGCGACAGATCCTTGTGGTACGATAAGAGTTGGCCGCGAGGCGTTTCGGCAACTTACTTTGTCGATTTCCCTTGTCCTGGGATCGCCATTTTGCGCGGCGCTGGCGCCGGCGCCGGCTCCATTGGCGCCAGAGGGGATGTAGGGGTCGTAAGGCTGCTCGGACATGATTCTCGTGCGCGATAGATTCTATGAACTCGGTATTCGGGGGGTGTAGGACCTGGTAAGTCACCAGACTACCTAGGTGGAAAGTGACGGGCTGCTGCCTGTTGCTGTCGTAGGGGATGAGGCGGTAAGTCGCAACGACAGACTCGACGACTGAGGGTACGGTGAAAAGCGAGAAAGGTGGAGGTCGGAGGATGGTGTGGAAGGTGGCGGGACGATGGAATGCAGGAGGGAAGTAGGATGCGTTATTGAAGGGAAGCTGACAAGGTGTGATGAATCGCCGCCCGCCTTCTGGAGATTACAGGCGTTTCGGTTCGGTCGGGGCGGTTTCACGTGACCCGCGGTCTATTGGGAAGGACGCCCCGGCACAGGCAGCTATTATTATTTTGTGCTTAGTGGTGAGACCCAATTGGACCAGCCGCTAGAATGGAAACAAAGAGAAGGTGAAAAGCCAAAAGGTTGAGTTGAGTGGCTGTATAGAGACTGCTGCTACTTTGTTTCTAATGACTACTACTGCGCCCATGGAAAAGGAGAGGATACCCTGTCAATATCCATCCTGTACTTCACATGGGAAATAGAAGATCTACTCCAACTGTCAATACTCTCGATGTATGCACTAGGTGCAGGAGCAAGGTTCAGGTATGCCTGCAATTTTGGTAGAGAGAGCAATACAGACAGAAATAGCAACACCAGTTGTCCGTCTATTGGGCACCCTTTACTACCAAGTGTTATGAAGTATGGCAACGGTCTGCCCGACCTCATGCGTTGCTTAAGAAACACGCCCTACTATGTGGCGGTGCGTCCTATGTAAGCATGCTGCGCCTTCCGTCACATGCATCACGTGGCAGTCCTGCCTTAACGAGTATGGAGTGTGGACCCTTCTTCCAGATATCTAGATAATAGATACGATAAGGACTTGATTGCCGAAAGAATCCTGCCACTTCTGCGTTCTTCGATCTGCTTAAGACTTGGCTAGATTTGTTGCTCATACCAGCTATTTTCCTATTACTCGAAACAAGTGCTGTTAGCGTCATGCTTTTCCCCCTTCACGAATGAGGTAGATGAAAATACTAGGAACAATTTACGCTTAATCCCAGGACCTAGTGTGCAAAGATTATCTCCTTCATGACTGACAGGGGGTAATGTGATCTCTTAATGTGCTATATTAGTATCAACAACAGGCACAACAACACTTTGCATCTCAGCTTCATCAATGGACGCGAAAATTGTCCGAACGGACACCTACAGGCCTGCAGCCGCGACAAGTATATGAGCGATTAATACAACTCCCTTCCTACAGCGAGCGCACTACGAATGTTTGCAGGAAAACCGGCCCGACAGGTCATTCAAGCGTCGGCGAAATATCTCTCGGCTAAAGAGTTCGTCATATTTAGCAAAGATTCTCATTCGCAAGAAATGTCAAGTATACGCGTCGCCAACTCATCTCAAGCCCCAGGGAATTGATACATGTTTCAAGGAAACTACCTAAGGGGGCCCCTTTCATGCAGTGGAAGTAGGACCAACCGGGCCAGCCCTACTCATATCAATAAGCGTTGCTGAAGTTGATCTAATACAGTATATTTCTTTCCAGCACATGAAGGTTGCCGCGCGGCTAAGAATCGCTTTGGCATGCGTATAGCTGTGCCGAATTACTCCAGGTCATATCAAGTGGCTCTCGGTTCTCCAGAACTGCCCAAGCCGCACGTACACAGATTTTAGTCTTGCTAGTGAGTCCTCTGCCTAATAACGCTTGTCCCTATAGGAGCAGTGCCGGGGGTATTCCAACATCATGCCTCGTCATCACGATTAAAAGATACTCGGCTGTCTGTCGGCGTCGTCCGATGAACGGGAACAGCACAGACATAATATATAATGCAAGCGTAGGATTTCCATTCAATCATTGAAATATAATACAGTATAGACCGTAGCCTCCGAAAACTCCACAAACTCTGAGCCAAATGCTTCCCCCACAATGCTTTTTGGACAGGTCTCACGTAGACGCAATGGGTATAAATACAAGGACGATGCAGGAGTCAACGTTCCTTCCCAGCATCATGTCCGATCCAGCTACATCTCCAGCGTAGAGAAATGAGCTAGTCACAGCAGAATCACTTCCGTGGAGATATACCTCCGCAACAAGCCTATTTCTCACCCAGCAATTCCTTCCTCATCTCCTCACGTTGTACCTTAGCATCATCCCTAGCCTGGTTCCGTTGTACCTCGGCCTCCACGCGCTTCTGTTCCTGTTGTTCCTGCGCCGCGTACCAGACTAATCAAGCAAACCCCCCCCCCATGACATCAGTATAACTGCTCCCAGACAATCCATAAAATAAAAAAAGAAGGGGGAAGGGGGCATAAACGCACTCGACTTATCAGACTTAGACCATTGCTTCAACCGGGTAACATATTCATCGAATTCCCGAGCCCGGCGATCCCCTTCCTCCAAACTCCGCTTCTGAAGATCCGGGTTATAACGCTTGAACAATTCTTCGTCGGTAGGACGGATGTATTGGACGAAAGCCGGACCGCCGACACAGATGACGATGCCGCTAATAGTAGTAATTTTACCCCGTTAGAAAATCGCGCGGCAAGTGCGGAAAAGAACAAGAAAAGGTGGGTGGGTGGGATGCGCCTTACACGCCGAGCATCTTCATCCAAGTTCCTGCCCGAGACATGGTGGAGGACGATTTATTTTCTGGGGACAAATTGTTGGTTTGTTTGGTTTGGGATGGGATGACGAGTGATGTAAGGCAGGTGGAAATCGCCCTGCTGTAAATGGCTAGCTAAACGCGAGAAGGTTGGTTGGTTGATGTCTTCAATTGTTGGAGAAGCCACAGAGGAATCGTTCGGGAAGTGCGTCTGATCTCCGACATCAATCAACATCATCATCATAATCACGCACACGGGATTCGGCAGCGCCGATCCATATGTGTGTGTGGCGCAGCAGTGGAGGCTAATGCAGGTGGCGCAGGTTTGTGGCCGTTACTTAATTGTAACCCAATTAGGGAAGCGGAGTGGAATTGTTCGGGCGGACTTCCTTTTTGCTGGCCTTCTCCCGAGGGGAAAAAAGGCTCTGCTGCTCCACTCACTATGTCACTAGAACAACACTATCAGATTTTGTGCGAATGAGCTGCTGATTTGCCCAGGGGCGGGGAATATCGTAGAGATTCTCTGCTGTCTCTTTTCCTCTGTTGAATGGTTACTGTGACGTCGGGATGTCTTAGACATCGGTCCGCTCGGCATCGATATATCGACTTCTAAATATAATCACAGAGCAAAAAGTAGGGTGTCGGTAGAATTGCTTCATTGGTGAGCATTTGCGAGGTATGAAATATTACTTTACTCATTTGGGTCATGTGCAGCTCCATTCTAGGCGTGGGACTTCCATCCGCAGATGCAGCTGATCATTATCTTAATCCAGGAAGTCTATTAGTCAAATGCTTTTACGAGGAGTAATCATCTGGCGTTGTTGATTTAATGTGCATTCTCATTTTGCGAAAGTGGGAGGTGGATAGATAGAGTACATTCGCGCAGACGCAAGGTTGGCTAAGGTCCACGTTGGTATCTTTCGATGCGACATATCTGATACGTCAACGCGGCAGGGGTAACTAATAGTTATATGCTATGGCTGAAAAGACGCGCTTGGACAATCAACTGATTCAAGGCCGTAAATTGTGTCGGACCATCAGCTTGTTGTACCCCATAGGGCTCGACGAGCCACTTGATACTACGGAGTAGGTTATGTAAGATAGGTTGATGATCGATAACATCATAGGCTGGGTAACGGACTCCGAGTGTTTATCCTTCATTGTAATTCGACGCATGGGGCTATGTCGTATTCGTATAGACCAATAGAAATGCAGCGCCTAAGTTTCGAACGGAGATTGCGCTGGAGTTTGATCCATATTGACCACTGTCGTTGTACTAAACTAAGAGCCCCTCAAAGATTAACTGCTTACTGACTATCCATTGGCACAAGTCTTCCAGACCCCTGATGATCAAAAAACTCAAGACCTTGCAGCGGGTTTGTAGGTGATGGGCGGATAATGGCTGTTCGAAATATTTGGGTGCGGTTGATCTCATGTCTCAGGGGTCAATAGCCTTAAGAGGATATCCAACGTCATTTCCTAGATGGGAGTCTTGGGTAGCGCCGTGCCAAGCGGTTATCAGACTCCAACGGTTTCTGATTCTGTAGTTGAAGAAGGGTCAGTCGGGAATGCTGGTAGGTCTGGTTGACGGTGCACTGGGATATGATTCCCCACTGTCGATACATGGCACGAGTGCCACCAAGTCCCTCTGTAATGTCCTTCACCCAGGTTCCAAACTTCCAAAGCCATGACTCCTGCTGCCACTAGACTGAATGGGGTCGGGGGACGGAGGAGGAGATCCGTTTTGTACCGGCGAGAAGTGGACACCGATATCTAACTCTGACCAGCGACAGTATTCCCGGCGGGACGGGCGTGGGTCAGTTCAGAAGAACCGTTCCAAAGTGTCAGTAGCCGACCAGTGAGTAGTAGATAGTTAAGTGGGTGCACGAACAGTTCAGTCATGCATTATGGGTATTTCGCTAGGAGTCGCGCATGGTTGATCAGAGACAAAGGAGAGGAGAGAACGAAGGCATAATGAGTGGGCATTCATAAAGTGTTTCATCGTCGCGGTCAATCAATCAGTAATTATAATAATAAATCATAATCCCTTGTGTTGTCGCTCCCACTTTTTTTTTTGTCACTTTTTGTCACTCCAGTCTACTAGCAGAGGGGGAAGTTTTAAAATCACGGGTGGCTTTCTCTTTTTCCCCTCTCCATCCAGTCAGACTACTTTACCCGTCAGGTACTCTACTCCGGACTCCGTCCCTATAACCCTCGACCACCCAAAGACACTTATCGTCTTGACCTCCGCCAACCTCCACCACCCCCCTTCTGCCACTAATTTGAAATTCCTCCTCCCTCGGAGGTCACACGCTCTTTATTTTCTCACAAAGGTCATTCTTCCTTCGCC